GCCCAATTATATTGTTAAATACATTTATTTTCTGTTGTTTTAAATGCCTTATATTTCAAATCGCTTGCAGTTTTCCTCAACAGCCTTTGTTTTCGTTTAGGAAAAATTCAGTGTGCAAAAGTTCTTCTCATGAACAATACAGCCATTGGTACCCTCTAATCTCTCATGACTTGTATCATTACATTGACAGACCAACTAGTGCTCACTGCCAAACACACTACCATGTGTTCCTGAATTCCTCCACCTGACCAGTGCCTGCATTTCACTTCTGCAGCTTAGAGTCGCACACATTGGCATGAGGCAATTCTGAAAGCTGAACTCCAGGCAGATATATACACAAATTAATAAAACTCTCTTAATCCATCTTTGCATTATTTTTTATCAATGCAAGCAGTGTGAGTACCTGTATTTGACTTATCAGTCTCTTGCAGTCCACTGTAAATCTCTGGGAGGGATAAACCGCACAATGAGCCAGTCAGTCGTGCTATAAGGAAGCTTATAGGAGGAGATAGCAAGGGGTTCATTAGCTTACGGCTTTCTTTTTGCTGTCAAAGTGATTGTATTATTTTTTAAAATTAACAAACATGTCATGCTTACCTGCTCTGTGCAATATTTTTGCGCAGATCATCACCGATCCTCTTCTCTGGTCCTCCTTCATTGCTCCTGGCCCCTCCCTGCCACAGTTGCAAGCTTGTTTCAACTCTGAGTCAATACCAGTGTCCAAAAGTGTATTTGATTTGGAAGAATAAATCCCCTCTAACGCTGGGTGTCCTACATGAGTGGATGTTGACACATTATGTAAAATTATTAGAATAGTTTTTTTACATTTTAGAATGTGGTACCCTGAGACTGTCCATAATTTTAGAGGGTGCTTTGAGATTGTCCATAATTTTAGAGGGTGCCTTGACTGAAAAAAGGTTGAGAAACACTGATCTAGTATGTTGGCAGTTTTTATTTTAATTCAGTGCCTTAAAGCTGAACTCGTGGAATTAACTGTATTGCATATTTGTATTGGTCCAAATTGGCACAATGTAAGTATGCATATTTCATACCTGATGGGTCCCTGGGGAAGCTGAAAATCACTTTTAGTAGTCACGCTACTATAGTGATAGATGTGATCTTGTTGCTCCTGCTGGGGTTCTGTGTGAGAGGCTTCCCCTTGACCACAGGGGGTCACTTGCTCAACATTGTCCCCATTCATAGAATGGCTTGTGCTTTTTTTTTTTTTTTTTCATGTTCTCTGATTGGACAATAATGCAGCGAGAGCAGTAATGAAAGGACTGCCACTTTTGCAATCAAAGAATACTCTCTATTCATTGGAAAAAAATACAAGGCATTCAATGAATGAAGGCAGGTCTGAGTGAGTGACCCCCTGTGGTTAGTGTGTAGAGGGGAAGCTGCTTGCACAAGACCTGAAGATTACAGCTATCACTGTAGTAGCACCAACATTTCAGCTTCTCCAGCAGCCCATCGGGGTATGAGATATACATACATGCATTGTGACAAGATGGGCACAATGTAAGTATGCAATTCAGATAATTTCTGGAATTAAGTTCCAAACACAACGTCCCATAGTGAACAAGTCTGAATGGGGCCATAGATTGTAACTGCTTGTTGCATTTTAAGTTTCCATATGTAAAGTAGTAATACCCTGTCATATCTACACTGCATGTATTTTCATTATTTTTTTTCTATATTTAATGGATTCTAGTATAGATAGAAATTAAATGCATGCACTATGTCAGAACCACTACGCAATATGTCTTCTTGTGTCTTGTTATCCCAGTGTGTTCTTAGCTGCTTGTTTCTGATTTCCATTGTATATATCTTTCAGATTTGTTTTAGCACCTTGAACCAATTCTGCCTGTACAGAGATGCATTGCATTTGACAATGGTTCCATTAAATGCCTAATTTTGTAACCGTTTAAAAGATCAAACCAAAGCAGCACTTTAGTGAAAGAATAGACTTTTCCATGGATAATCCAGATTCTTTTCTACTATTGCCCATATAGAGCTAAAAAGGTTTTGTACAAAATCTATTTTGAAAAAACGAGTACTTGGTCTCAAGCATCCTCATGATATTTTTTTTCCCTTCTCACTTGGAGGTTAGACACTTGTATCCAGGGCTTCTTTTGTGTCTGTCCATTGGGAAGAGTAGTGATGTGGTGTGTAGCACACATTGTGTCAAATGATGGGTGTGGCTGAATTGCACTAACAGTGGGAGGGTCTTAAAGGGGCTTTTTTAAGCAAAAACAGGGGTGCATAAAGTACAGGCTGGCAGGGTTCAGGAGTGTGTAATATAAAGCTTGCAAGGCTTCAGCAGTGCATCAGGCACAAGGCTCTAGTACATACAGCCGCCACCCCTCTTATTCCGCAGTCTGTGTGGAAGCACAGAGAGAGATATGGCTCTTGCTTGTTAACACAAGCCACAGAAGAGTATTCAGGTCACACCGTATATAGATGACCTTCCTTTTAAAGGACTCCTCTCTCTTCCAGCTGTCTGCAAATGTCCACAGGACATTTCATTTGGGCAATACACTTTCAGAAATCTACTCCCCAACCTTCACTTTGCCTGAAGTACTTTGGCCTGGTTCTAGGCACAGCCCAAGCAAAAGTCTTTCTTCCAGAAGATAAACTGGCCTCTCTCACATCTAATCCCGGCAATCGCACTGTGTTTTGCAATTTGTTTCAGGGTGTTGTTAATTTAACATTGACACCCGCATCAGATTGCATAGACATCGTGTTTTTGCTATGCGGTGTGGGAAATACTCAGAATTTGCTGTTTCCCACATCACATCAGTGTGAACCAGGACTTGGCTTCTCTTCTTCAGGGAAACCTAGTCAGGGTGCAATTGGACCACGCTGTGACTTACATCAGTTGTGAAGAAGGCACTAGGAGTCATGAAGTCTTGATAATTGCTTGATTTCAATTTGTGCTGATCTATGCTTTTCCTCCAGTTGCAAATTCTACTTCCCCTACTCCACAAATCAGAGAAAGAGAAGAAATCTGTTATTCTCATTGTACCAAGCTGGTGTAGCAGAACGTGGTTCACGGACATACTCAGACTAGGAGATTATCCCTGGCTCCTTCCAAACAGACTTGACTTGTTGTTTCAAGCCCCCTGTTCCATCCTGTTTCTCACTCACTAGTTTTACCAACATGGCTGTTGAAGCCACCTTCGCTGTAGGGGCAGAAAGGTTTCTGAGTCTCTTTCCCACATTGCTGAATGCAGAGAAAACCACTTCCTAAAGATCTTATGTCATACCCTTCTCTTTCCCTTATAGAATAGAAACTTTGTTCAATGTTTTTCATTGATCAAACCACTCTTACAGCACCCTGTCCTTTTTTTGGATTCTTGACCCTGCAGAAACCACCCTTTGATCCCATCAGGGAATTCCCCTTGGAATATCTCTCCTGAAGGGTTACCTTCTTGGTAGCTATCACATCTGTCTGACATGTCTCTGAGTTAGTTTGTTCTCACAAGCCTTTCATCATTCTTCATAAGGACAAAGTAGTCTTATACCCAAGACCCTCCTTTCTTTCCCAGCTTTGTTGCCTTCCACCTCAATGACGATATAGTCCTTCCCTTGTACCCTAATCCAAAGCACCCAAAGGGGATTGCTCTTCACTGTCAGAATGTGATCATAGCTATCAGAGTCTACCTCAAAGTTGCAGCTTCTGTCAGGAAAATAAGCTTTTTGCCCCACCTTCAGGATCTTGCAAGTGACATCCTGCTTCAAGATCCCCCATGGTTAGGTGGATAAGTCCACTAATCTCAAGATCTTACACCCCAAAGAAAAAAGCACCTACTGCAAAAATACGTATGTTCCATGAGCATCATGCCTTTGTTGCCCAGATTTGAAAGGCGGCCACCTGTTCCTCTGATCAAACCTTTTCAAAGTTCTTTAAGGTGGATGTCTTATCTTCTGCTGAAACAGATTTAAAGCCGCATTTTAAATTGTTGGACCGCTACCATTTTGTTAAGTTGGGTCTATGACTTTACCCTGGTACAATTGTTGGATTATTTGCCTAAACCATTCTTGTTAATTGCCTGGGGGTTGTAATGGGTAGGGTTGTGCCAAGGGGGCATGTTCTCAAAGGTTTTGCTAGTGTCCAATCGCCTCAAAATACCAGCTTATAACCCATGGTCTATTATTATCAAGCCTATGTTCTGTACTGTACTCCAAGAAATAGTTTGCGGGTACATGTTTTTTTTTTTCTTTTGTTTATTGAAGTATAACTACAACCATTTTTGTTTTGGATAGAGTGGGGAGTGATAAGGGGTTTTCCTCCTATACAAGCTCCACTACAGCAATTTCCTCTTCATTTATCTGTCACAGTGACTATGAGTTCTCTACTATTAAGAAAAGAAAAAAAAAAACACCCACACTTTTCTTTTTTTTAGTGTGTGTGTTAATATAGGAGAATTGCCTTACTTCATGTCTAGTGAAACCATTATCAGAAGCCTAAGTGAGGGAAGTCTCTCTAATGGGGCATTGGACAGAACTAAAAACCTGACAGAGGGTCTAATCTTTCCCCACCCTATCAAAAATTTTTATTAAGAACAAAAAAAAAAAAATGTAGGCTTGATATACACTTAAGTCACTATGGCTTACCATACATTTGCCTTTGCTTTTGTGCACAATCATATATATATTTATTAATTTGATCATTGCCTATGTTTTCCTATCGATATACACAATCAATTGCTATTATATTATACTTTGGAAAATCTTACCACGAATACCTGTAAATTAGCAATATGGAATGCTGGTTCTCTTTTTACTTCTGTATTTAGTAGAGATAAATACAGTTAGACAATTTAATATACTAGTGACACCTGTCTCATGTAATTCACTAATATGATTGATTGTACTCCATACGCTGAGAGAAAATTGCGAAATATCGTTGAAAATTATTATGCAGTAATCTTTCTCCATCTATGGCGATCTAGTTTTATTTACAGTAGTAAATGTGTAAAAATTCTTTCATTTTTAAGCAAGCTGCAGTGCTCCAGATTATTAAAACATTGTTTATATGGCTGGGATTCCTTCCAAATGGGACTGTATGCACCCTTGATTGTAGGTCAGTGCAAAACATGACAAACTCAAGTTGTGTAGCATATGTTGTGGGATGTTCACACTATAGTATGTTTTGACTGTTTATGGCAGCGTTTACCATATCTTGCATTATGCCTTAAACAGCCGTTCACTTTGTATGTACAATACGTGTGTAAGCCTGTCTTGTCATGCATTGCCAAACATGTTCTCATTGCAATGTGCTTGTGCTTCTGAACTGCAGTTTCATTAATTGCAATAAACACTGTTGCTTTACATTGTGTGCATCGTTGCTGCTGAGTTTGGCTTCCTGCGCTGTATAATATTTGCATGCAGTTTGCTGGTGACTTGAGGTGCAGCTGTAAAACAAGAGCAACCACCCATTGTGAGAACAATTGTCTTTGGTCAATCTTCTGGGTCACTTCTGTCTTAGCTGCCTTGTTTCCATCCTTTCTTCTATCTTCTCTCCCTGCTGCTGGCAGAATGGCTTTGAGCCACACTTTGTCTTTGAGATTGACTGTAACACCAATACCATAAAAAGGAGGCCAGGAAGCCACATCCAGGTGAATAAAGCATGCTGGCTAATGCTGTTTTGGTATATCAAAATGTCATTTCTCAGTCTTTTTTTTACTTTACCATGACTAAACATAACTGCTGTGTCTATGCTCCTTTCAACAATATTATAATCTGTCCACTATGACATCTGTGCTGCTTGACCCTTCTCTTGTTGCCATTGTGCATCAGGAATTCTCTAAAATTCCAACATGAGCTTTTTTAAAACCATTTTTAACTATATATTAACATTTTATTAAGCCATGGATTCTGGATCTTTCCATGACTTTTAAAGACCATAATTGATCTTCATAAATGTTTTTGTTCTTTACAACAGATGTTTATTCATTATTTGCTCATGATTTATAGGTATGGATAGTGTGTATAAATGTATATGTCCACATTTTAGAAAACCGTGGTGGATGTATCAGTGTTTTGAACTTTATTAGGATATTTCTGTGTGTTAAACATAAATACATATACATACACATTTTGTTTTTGCACATATTCAAACAATCAAAGTCATCTCCGTTCATGTTTTTGTGTTTATGTTCCTGCTTCTACAACTTTTGCTGTTCTTGCTTGTGTTAACTGTTCCTGATTTTAGCTTTTGTAATGTTTTGTTTTCAGAGTGATGAGAGGTCATCAGTCACTCCTGTATCACCCTCCTCTCAAACTAGTGAGTAAAGTGTGTGTGTGTGTGTATATATATGTGTGTGTGTGTGTGTGTATATGTATGTGTGTGTGTGTGTATATGTATGTGTGTGTGTGTGTGTATATGTATGTGTGTGTGTGTATATGTATGTGTGTGTGTGTGTGTGTGTATATGTATGTGTGTGTGTGTGTATATGTATGTGTGTGTGTGTGTGTGTGTGTGTGTGTGTGTGTGTATATGTGTGTGTGTGTGTATATGTGTGTGTGTGTGTGTGTGTGTGTGTATATATATGTATGTGTGTGTGTATGTATATATATATATTATAATTTTTTTAAATCTACTTTCACATATTCACATTTCATGGCTGGATCTAGCCTGACTGATCTGGGGGTGCAGTGAAAAAGCATAAAGGGGCCTGCTTTCCAAACTTAAAAACCATAGCGAACAACTAATATAATTGGACAAAGACAATGTACTAGTTAACGCTAATCAAATAAAGGACACGGGCACACTGCACAGGTCAGTTAGATCTATGGAGGTTGCCCCTCATTTTTCTGAGTCTCACATACCGGTATACGCCTCATCACAATCATTTTTAAAAAAACAAATTATTTAATTGTATTTGTTGTATCCACGCAGAATATAGTCAGAAAACTGTCTCAGCCCACCTTTAAAGAAGAATTGTATTAAAATAGTCAATTACTGCTTAGGAACCAGCAGCTGTAGAGGCAATGAACACTTTGGTCAGCAGTATGTAATTCCAACATGGCATATAGAGTATAGGAGTCAGAGGTATATATTGTACAGAGTGCAGTGGTCAGAAGTATGTCATTTACAGCCCAGTGTACAGTGGTAGTGCAGTGGTAAGTAGTGTACGTGATGATGTACAGTCAAGAGTACTGAGGGTAATGGCATGAGTATACAGGATAAAACAATCAAAGGTATGTACCGCACATTATACAGAGTATCGTCAGAAGCATGTAATGCGTTCTCTACAGTACATAATTCTGCTGCAGTCAGTATGCGGTGTTGTACTTTGCATTCTTCAAAGCACTACCCTGTATGCTGCGTTATACATTATATAATTCTAACCCATGCACTCTACACTAGACTGTTTCATACTCATGACCATTGCATTCTGTAAGCTGTGCTGTACATTACACACTTTTGACTGTTGAACTGCTGCAATTCTAGCATACAGAGTGTTGAGGATTATGTAACCTATATCCTCACATTAACCCACTGCTCACCTCTGCACCCCTCTTCCACAGTACACTTCCACGCCTCCTGTCCAAACCTCATCCCATCCCTATGCCCAGCACCCCACAGCTCTTCCTCCTGTGCCCAGCTCCCTGTATCCACAGCACCCCCCCATCTACAGCTCTCCCTCTGTGCCCCCCCCCCCATTCACACCTCTCCCTCTGTGGGCCCCCCCCCCCCCCCCATTCACACCTCTCTCCTCTCTGCCCCCCCCCCCCCATTCACACCTCTCTCTCTGTGCCCCCCCCCCCCCATTCACACCTCTCTCTCTGTGCCCTCCCCCCCATTCACACCTCTCTCTCTGTGCCCTCCCCCCCATTCACACCTCTCTCTCTGTGCCCCCCCCCATTCACACCTCTCTCTCTGTGCCCTCCCCCCATTCACACCTCTCTCTGTTCCCAGCACTCCCATTCACAGCTCCTTCTCTGTGGCCAGCAACCCCTCCCCATCCACAGCTTTCTCTCTGTGCCCAGGGGCACCCCCCTTTTGCAATCCACAGCTCTTGGCACTCCCCCCTCCCATCCCTACCCACCTTCCAGCGCTGCTCTACACACTCCGAAACCCTTTTCCATTCTAGGCTAACTTCTCATTTCCCTAGCATCCGATAACATTCTATCACGCAGCGGCCAGCACAGGCTTCTTAAGCAAACGGCACTCTGAGTCGCATCGGCACACCAGGAACCAGTCCAGGAATATGGGACAAGTGTCCACTAGCATTGCTTCTGCTTCAGAGCCTCAGTGGAGCTATGCAGCTCGGTGCTCAGCAGGATAGAGATACTATCTAGATAGGACTATTTATACCATCCCAGCAGCCTGGGCAACACCACTAAAATCTGGGGCAGCGCAGCCCACCCCAGCACCCCCCTAGATCCAGCCTTGGTAGCCATTGATTACATTTCCAGTTTTTAATTTTGTGTGTGTGTGAAGATGTTATTTTGGTTTTTTTTTTTTTTTTTTATTAAGTGAGAGTCATGATATTTTTATATTTTTCATTCTGCATTTGGCTTTGCAGTACATTTGTCCTCACCAGCAACTGTCTTGCCATGCCGAAGCTCTATTCAGCGACCTGAAAGCTTCTTATTCAGAGCTGCAGTTCGAGAGGATGGTAAAAGAAGTGAGTGGCAAATCCAGTTCCTATTTGCTAAGTTTGGACTGTGTTTTTGTGTGTTACAGCTTGATGCTGTATGTGGACGCTTTTGTTTAATTAGATTATTTCTAACAGGTAACACACCACCTCCAGCTGCTTCTACAATTGACAGTCAGTGCTCTTCAATTCAGCAAGAGGAGCAGGAAATAACAGATCAGCTCAGGAAGGTTTGTACCCTGCATACTTTTCAGTTTCAATCATTTCAAATTCTTGGATAAAATGACTTGGGGCAACTGAATTTGGATTTTTTTTCATCTTCAATTTTGTGATAAATATTTCTCTTTTATAACTTCATAGTAGCTTCAGCTAGCTAGGAAAACATACATGTAGGAAAAAAATAGATTAAAAAGCTTAAAGGTAAGAGTTTAATAACTAAAAATGTGATCACTATTGGACATTGTTTTATATTATTTATCGGCTTGCCGACCAGTCACCAGTATTCAAGTAGTTGTACCGCGAAGATGCCTGCAGCTGCTGGTCGGCTTTCTGTAATGGAAATCGGAGTTGCTAGCTAGCCACTTGATCGCTATGACAAGCAGCGGGAAGGGACATCTCCCACCCACCTTCCCCCCTCCCTTGGCTTTAACGGGCACTCCTGTCCCACCGGGAGTCCTGATCAACCAGCCGGTGCTGCCACCGACAAGTCACAAAGCTGAACAAAGACCGGCTTTGTTTGGCTCAGTTAAACAGTAAACTGAAAGCGAACACCTGACATCACTTCTGTTTTTTTCAGAAACAATCAGCGCCATTTTTAAATAGTTAAGAGCATTCATATACACAGATCTTGGTGTGATTGCATGCTTTTAAGAGCAGAGGAGGGATTTGGGGTCTTATTGACCCCAGATCTCTCCATAAAGAGTACCTGTCAGAGGCCTATTGCTGTCAAGGGATGTGTAAAGTTTTTGTGACAGCAATAAAAGTGGTAAGAATTTTTTTAATGTGACCGTGTAAAAAAAAAAAAAAAAAAAAAAAAAAATTAAGTGCCCCCATCCCCCCATGCTTACTCACAAATATGAACGCACGCGGCAGTCCTGCCTGCTCATAAACAGCGATGGTCCCACATATGAGCTATCACCGTGAACACCAGATCATAGGCAGTAATTCTTGCTCTAGACTTCCGTTGTAAATCTGAAGTGTGAAGGATTTTAAAGCTTCGCCTATGGATAGTAAAATTTACGCTGTTTGTCCCTGTTGCACGGGCGTGTACAATTTTTAAGCATGATTGGTATCTATTTATCCGGTGTAACAGCATCTTTTATATGTTACAAAAAAATTGGGTTATGTATTTTTGTTTTTTTTGCATTAAATTTCAGAAAAGTGTTTTTTTTTTTTTCCCAAAAAAATTGCGGTTGAAAAACCGTGACGCAAATATCATGTGAATTGCAAAACCCACCAATTTATTCTCCTCTGCTTTAAAACAAAATATATACATTTTCTAGCAAAAAAAAACGATTTGTATATGTGAACAAAAAATGCCAGAAAAAAAAATCTGCATTCTGTGCAGTGGTTTTGCATAGACTAGCCCCGATCCTCCTCTTCTCAGGTCCCCCACTGGTGCTCTTGGCCCCTCTCTCCTTTTGGGTGCCCCCATAGTAAGCAGCCTTGCTACAGGGACACGTAAGCGGGAGCACTCTCGTGCCATGGCTGTGCGTGTCCATTCATACACAATACACACAGCTGCTACTCGACCCTGCCCCCTCCCTCTCCTGATTGGCTCACTGGCTGTGATTGACAGCAGTTGGAGTCAATGGCCTACTGTCGAGCGTTTTTGTAGTTTTTTTGTTTTTTTTTTTAGGCTGCCAGGAGAGCTGCACACTGATAGTCGGGAAAGAGCTGCCACCTGGGGGCCCCTTTCATACAAGCAGTCCGATCAGGTCTGCCTGTATGTTTTTTGGACTCTCTGTTCTCCTCAATGGAGTGGCG